AGGGCCTGAAAATGGCCCTCCGTTTCAGGCTGAAAAGCCTCTGGGCCTGAAGGGCCCAGAAATAGGCTGAAAACGGAGTAGGGCCTGCAGGCCCTTGTTTTTCAGCTTTCAGGCTGAAACGACCGGGGCCTGTAAGCCCTAAGTTTTAGGCTTTTAGGCTGAAAGTGCGGGACGGGCCCTGCAGGGCCCGTGTGGCTACGCAGTATGCCACATACACACACACACACACACACACACACACACACACAGAATCAGTTTTTTGTCTCTGTCTTCCTCTTGTTGTTCATCTTTCCCCTGATTTTTTTCGAGTATTTTTTGTATGCCCAACTGAGCACCTTTAAGAAGTGCCAAATAGTCGGTCATTCCTGGTTTGGAGTGCCTGCAGCAGCCATAGGGGGGGGCGCTCAGTTCGGGAGGTCTATCTGCCTTACGGGTGATGAAGGATGTTCGTCAGAGTGACTCCCTGTCTCCGTGGGTGGTAGGAACCAACAGTCTGCGGGGTTCACCAGTGATGTGAGTAGGTGATGTGCTGCTCTGCTCCCTGTTGGATTTGTGGACTTCCTCGTCTGTGCTCCGCCGCTGCCTTGCTGCCCTGTTCCGGTTGCTTTGCAGGTCTTTCTTGGCAAGCTGCTGTCTTCGCTGTGTGGTGTGGCCGTGTTGTTGGTGTTGCCCTGCACTTCGCTGCTCCGCTGCCTTGCCGCCCATCTGCTGGCCGTGCCCTCCGTGTCCTTCGCTTGTGCGCCTTGTAGTTCGGTTGCCTTGCTGGTGTGGCCTTGTGCTTCACTGCACGGTTGCCGTACTGCTCGTCCGCTCGCCCTGTCGTTCCTTGCAGTAGTCTTTGCCGCTGCGCAGCTGGGTTGCTCCGACAGCTTTGGCTGGTCTTCTGCAGAGTTGTTGCCTGCTGCTATGTGTGTGACTGACTTCTTGGTGTTGCCTTGTGCTTCACTGTGTGGCTGCTGTGCTGTGTGTCCCCTTGTCATGTCATTCTTTGCAGTATGGCGTTGAGCAGCTGTGTTGCCTCTGCAGCGTTGCCTGGTGCTTCGCCGGGTTGCTGCCCACTGCTGTGTTCCGTTTGGGGACAGTCTGCCTTCAACAAGGGTCAAAGGGTTCATGAGCTAACCATCAAATACAGAGATTCCGCAGATTGTCGAGGGTGCACCCTGCTGAAGAGTTGGTGCAACTCCAACGAAACAATGTTGGTATCGTCAGTTTTTACTTTTTTCACTTTTTTGTTTTTGGAACTTGCATTTTTTTGCCTGTTGTTCTCTTGTCTTGCGATGTTTGGCTCACTGCCTTGTGTTGTTTGTCTGCCCACCCGCCTCCCCCATGCCCTTTAACCTATGTCTTCTGCTTCACCATCTTTTGTGCCTGCTCTGTGTTGTTTGCCTGCCCATCCGCCTTCCCTATGCCCTCCAGCCTTTGTTCCTTGCTGCCCGCTGCTGGTTGCCCAATACCTTGTTGCTTTCTTCCCTTTGCTGTACCGTCTTGCATTGCTTTTCTGGCCTTTGCATGACTTTCTGTGCGTTCGCCCACGGGCGTACCAGGCTGCGGGCACTTTTTATGTGTTGTTTATACCCATACCTTTCAACGCAACATGCATTCGTCTCACTGACGTACCGAGCTGCGGACGCTTTTTCTGTGCGTCCGTCTCAAGGGCGTACCAGGCTGCCGCACGCTCGCGGAAGTCTGATGCGCGTGATGAAACACACACACACACACACACACACACACACACACACACACACACACACACACGCGC